ACAAAAAACCCTAACTCTGTGCAGGGAGCAAGTACGACCCATACCGCCAAGAAGGAAACCCCGTATAAGAAATTGACGGAGGCCGAGTATTTGAAACGGAGGGAGCGAGGGCTGTGCTTTCGCTACGAGGAAAAATACACCGTCGGACACAAGTGCAGGAATCGAGAACTTCGAGTATTTGTGGTACATGACGACGAGCTCCTAGAGAAGGAAGACGATTCAGTGATGGAGACGGAGACGGAAATGACAGGGGAGCCGAAGGGAAAAATGGTGGAATGCCAATTAAACACCATTGTGGGCATCTCGACCCCAGGGACAATCAAGGTCAAGGGGTTACTGCTAGACAAAGAGGTAACTGTTCTTATTGATTGTGGAGCCACCCACAATTTTATATCTCTTGCCCTCGCAGATGAACTGAAATTGCCTAAGACGGAAACAATAAGCTATGGAGTCATCATGGGATCCGGAACAGCGGTCAAGGGTCATGGGGTGTGCAAGGGCATTGTTCTTTGACTACCGGAACTCACAGTTAAAGACGATTTCCTACCGTTGGACCTAAGCTCGCTGGATGTGGTATTAGGAATGCAGTGGCTCCAGACGATGGGGAAAATGGAAGCGGACTGGCCGACGCTTACCCTCAGGTTCCAACGCGGCGAGAAGCAGATTACTATTAAGGGCGATCCTACCTTGGCACGACTGGAGGTGTCAATGAAACGCCTAGCTAAGTTATGGGAACCACAGGATCAAGGCTACCTAGTAGAGATGAGGGTGTTGAATGCTCAGCCAGATGAGATGGTCCTGGACCAAGATCAAATGTCCCCTAAGATAGAGGAACTTGTGCACGAGTACTTGGATGTCTTCCAGAAACCGGAGGAGCTACCTCCAGTTAGGACAACAGACCACCGTATCCCATTGCGAGAAGGTCACCCACCTGTAAATGTGCGCCCGTACCGATACCCACATCCCAAAAGGATGAAATTGAGGAAATGATAAACGAAATGCTAACGGCTGGAATTATTAAGCCCAGCGTCAGCCCGTTTTCCAGCCCTGTAATCTTAGTGAAAAAGAAGGACGGGAGTTGGCGCTTTTGCGTCGATTACAGAGCGTTGAACAATGCCACCATCCCTGATAAGTTCCCGATTCCAGTGGTGGAAGAATTACTGGATGAGTTACATGGATCGAAAGTCTACTCGAAGATTGATTTACGTTCAGGCTACCACCAGATCCGGATGGCGGCTGAAGACACTCATAAAACAGCCTTCAGAACTCATGCAGGGCACTATGAATTCTTRGTGATGCCATTCGGGCTAACCAACGCTCCTTCGACATTTCAAGCATTGATGAATGATGTGTTTAGACCCTATCTGCGCAGGTGCGTACTAGTTTTCTTTGATGATATTCTGATTTAYAGTTCTGATATGGAGACTCACCTGCTCCATTTAGCCATGGTATTTAACACTTTGAGGGAGAACTCGTTACGCGCCAACTTAAAGAAGTGCCAGTTCGCAGTAGAAAGGATTGAGTATCTGGGGTATTGGGTGTCTGCGGAGGGAGTAGAGGCGGACCCAGCTAAAAWAACGGCGATGCTACAATGGCCCGTACCCACCAATGTGAAGGAACTCAGGGGGTTTTTAGGATTGACGGGGTACTACAGAAAATTCGTGGAAAACTACGGTGCCATCGCCGCCCCACTAACTCAGTTGCTTAAGAAGGACGGGTTTCAGYGGGATGATCAAGCAATAGCAGCCTTCGAGAGATTAAAGGCAGCAATGGTTACCCTACCGGTATTGGCCCTTCCAGACTTTAGTGTGCCCTTCGTCATAGAAACCGATGCGTCGGGAACGGGATTGGGAGCCGTATTAACCCAGAATCAGAGACCAATCACTTACTTTAGTCATACTCTATCACGACAGAATCAGGCAAAGTCAATCTATGAAAGAGAACTGATGGCAGTGGTGTTGGCAATTCAAAGATGGAGACCTTACCTATTGGGGCAGCGATTCACCGTGCGGACTGATCAACAAGCACTAAAATACTTGTTGGAGCAACGCATAGTCCAACCGGAGTACCAGAAGTGGATTTCGAAACTATTGGGCTATGACTTTGAGATACAATACAAATCGGGAATGGAGAATAAGGCAGCCGATGCTCTATCTAGGAAACCCCCACCTGCACAATTGGCGGTTTTATCAGCGCCAGCAGTGGTGGACATCACAACCATCCGCCAAGAAGTTACCGCCGACCCACACTTTGCCAAGATTCTGGAGCAACTGAAGGAGGACCCTGGTAGTGTCCCGCGATTCCTGGTACAGCAAGGTACCCTCTACTATAAGAATCGGGTGGTGCTCTCAAAGGGTTCATCTCTCATACCGGCATTCTACACATGTATCACAATTCGGTCCTAGGGGGACACTCGGGTTTCTTACGAACCTACAAAAGATTGACAGGGGAGTTGTATTGGCCCGGTATGAAGGAGGATGTGAAGCGCTATGTGACAGAATACGAAGTATGCCAACGAAGCAAAACAGAATCGCTAGGCCCTGCTGGTTTGCTCCAACCGTTACCACTGCTGGACCGCATTTGGGAAGATATAACCATGGATTTCATTGAAGGCCTACCGAAGTCAATGGGAAAGGATGTCATATTCGTGGTGGTCGATAGACTGAGTAAATATGCCCACTTCATTGCCTTGACACATCCCTATTCGGCGAAAGGAGTGGCAGAGGTGTTTGTGAAGGAGATCGTACGCCTTCATGGGTTCCCTCGTTCAATCATATCCGACTGGGATAAGATATTCATCAGTCACTTCTGGTCAGAACTATTCCG